ATTTACATTTGTGAAGCAAAAAATGACTTTGGCACTGAGAGAAGCACAATCAACATTACAGTCGAAGGTGAGTTTGTAGCATTTCTGGAGATTTCGCTTCATAAATGTCTTTGCATGGGAAATCACTTTGCACCAGTCTTATTTTAGTATTTATATACTATTATAGTTTTTATTAATTACGAATCAACTTGTTTCATTTTTCAACAACTCAACACCTGTGGTCAAATATGTTGACTCATGTTTTATTACAGGTAGCTTCTGTTTTTTTCCATTTGTGCTCGCAAAATCCTTTCAGTTACAGATTCCGTTGTTGTGTCTTTAAGCTACTTTCAGTACCGTAGTATCCTGACATTCTATCCTGTATTTATGGACATAACGTAAACATGCGCGATTCTCTGCCCTTTAAATCTAGCACAACTCAAGGAGGAGAAAAAGCCAGACCTGCCCATAGCCATATTGCCCGCAGCCATATTGCCCGCTGCAGGGTCAGTGTCGCTGCTGACTATCGCTGGGCTGCTGATCCGATACTGCAGAAAGAAAGCCACGTCAAACTCCGGTGACATCACACTCAGCTGAACAGATGAAGAGCACATCAACCAAATGAAAGGAACATTCACCTGGACATTATCTATGCTGTAAATATCTCATGGACGGGTGAATACAAAGCTGGTCTATGTACTTATTTAGTCTGACTAACTGTTATTTTCTAATAAGATGGATATTTGATAGACAATCTCTAAATACAATGGGTAACGCTTACTTTTACAGTCCAGTACTTACAGTGTACTTACCTAGAAAGTACTGGCTAATGTAAGGTAAGTACATGGAACAGGGGTAGGTTTGGACACTTAAAGGGTTAGTTCACCCAAAAATGAAAACTCTGTCATTAATTACTTGGAATATCTATAAATTATGCACAATTAAATGAAATTATCATCCTTAACATCCTTATAGTAAGTACATACAGTTATAATTATTCAGTATGTGTTAATATAAATGCTTAATTACACAGAAATACAGCTTAACATAAAGTGTAACCCTTTTCTCTACTTAACCTCATTTCCTTAGTTTATCTTTCATCAGGTGCTTGACATCAAACTGACAATAAACTGTGAATATCCATAAACTCGTAGTGGATGAGAAGCCTGACTCATATTAGGCTCAGCCAAATAATCTCAAATAAGTCTGCACGTGGCTACGCAGGCACATAGCCTAAAAGCGTAGAGAAAATACGCGCATTAGGCCGTGAGCCGTTTCACGTACTGTACGTGTTGAAATCTTGGCACAGATAAAAGAAAATTCCTTTCACTAAACTTTGAAACACGCCGACTTTTCCCATTTCCTCCAAGAACAATGTAATGAGTTTATTTGACATGTTAATTATCACAGGCATTATTCATTCGGTTTCGTTATCAGTCAAAGTACACAATCTCTTCAGGAAGTTCCATTCTTTGTTCCAAAACTCCGGGTGTTCAAATACACTGCTGCAGATGAAGTGCTTTCAGGCGTGTAGTTATATCAAGTGATTTTACTTGATTATCTAAAGGGTTAGTTCATCCAAAAATGAATATGATTAATTACTCACCCGCATGTCGTTCCAAAATTGTAAGACCTTCGTTCATCTTAAGAACACATTATATCAACTCACCACTATGCAGTTAATCTACATTAAAAATCTAAATTAAGGCTGTTAAATTAAAAGGAAGGTTTGGCAATTTTCAGAGCGGCTAACGGTAGCAAGCTAACTTTGAAAGCCTGAGAGCCCACCCTCCCTTTAGAGTGTCTCCAAAGCCACACCTCCTTCAAAACATGAACCGTAGATTTTGCAAAACTTTGTTAAATTACCACAACGCCTCAAAGCACATAACATTACAATAATAGCTAACATAAACAACTTACAGAGCTCGCTCTTGTACCACATGTCTGCTGCAGTTTAATTTCACCATTGATCATGTTGATATAAAAATGCATAAATCTGAGTCTGAGGACATGAACTGCTACAGGTAGAATGTCACAGGTTTTCATCTCCTAATTACTGTTACTTTTTTCTTTTACAGTTATAAGCATTCAAATGCAGCGCATAATTCTGTGTTATAAACCATAGACACGGAGGTGCCGGGGCGTGAACTCAAGTCAAGTTATAAATGAACCGAAACTAAGGTAGCCTACTTCACAGACCTGAACAATGGATTTATATTGAAATGTCTAATTTTAAACAGAACAATTCAAAACGAAAGAAAACAGACTCTCTGCTTATGTAATCCGTATGAAAGTTGAAAAGTGCATTTCTCTCTGGCGCGTTCACTACTGCAAAGATCGCGAGTCAGCGTCGTCAACTTCATCTTTCCAGCCGAGTGAGCCGACACTGGAAGAAACACTCGTTTATTAATAAACAATTAAAATGTCTCCTTGCTAAATTTGACATTTGCATAATCATTACTTTTGCCGGTTCTTTTTGACAGCTTTTTAGGTTTGCTCTGCTGCACTATACCTTATTAGAGTGTACAGTATGGGATGTTTAAACTGGAAGGGTATAAATATATCCACACTGTAAAAAATGGTATTGTATTTGATTAATTACTCGCTGTGCTGTACTTTAGTGTGTGTGATTTATGCATTGTGTCATTTATGCACAGTATAAATAAATGAAAAAAAAAAATGATTAAGAACTTTATGGGCTCATCATTTTTTAATAGAGCGTTTAAAAAAGGAATGACTACTGAAATGATTTGGCACCGTACTGAATAAATTATTTTGCGTGCTTGAATGTACTCTGTACTTGGCCTCTGAATGTAACATGTGGCTCCTTAATGGCCCCTGTTACAAAAATATTCTAGAACCGCCACGGTTTGCCAACATACACATTAAGCAAATAATCTCCTGGATATCCTGCAAGGCCTTCATTGTTCCTCCAGTAAAGCAATATTATTAGACTGCTTTATCGGCTTCTGAACGCATGTACGCAATCAAAAGTGAAAGTTAATTTATCAAAAAGGTCTGGGTGACATTTTATTTTAAGGTGTGTTTGTTAGGGTAGTTACACATTTAAGTACTGAGTAATAATAATAATAATAAACTACATTTCCTTACTTTAGATTTAAGGTTAGGGTTTGTCGCATTTAATTATGCATAATTTACTGTTATGACTTAGCAAATACATGTAACGTGTAACAAAGACTGCATCCCAGTTCTGTTATGTAATTTTTGTGCTTGCTGGGTTTTTACAGGCTTTTAAAATGGGGTAAAAAAAATCAATAAAATATAAGGGAGTAACTATACGCTTTCCCTGTTGTGTGATAAGATGTTGTAATTAAAGGATTACAACATCTGCTCAGAGGAATTTTGCTCTCAGGAAATAGATCATGGCATGGCAGCAGTGATATTTTGGCTCCATTCGCAGTGATCACTTTAATCTGTAACTCGCACGTCTTCTGTTGTGACATTGTTTTTCCATGTAACCAGTGTAAGGCCGTCTAAATCGATTCAATGGCTGTATTCGGAACTCACGCGTGTTCCGTCTTTTCTCATGGCAAAGGGATTTTTAATTAAATGCAATACATTTTATCTTATTAATTAACTCATTATTTCATCTGACTCCATAAATGAAAAGATTTTCTTTAAATCTCTGTGAATGTTTGACTTCCTTTTAACTCTAACTCTATCAAATATAACAATTTATTCTGTCACGTAAATGTGTTATTATAATTTCGTAATCAATTGAAAGATAATCAATGCAAACCATCAAATGTTCTAGAAACAAAGAGGAAAATCATTTACCCTACATTATGAAATACATGGGTGGACGCTGAGTCTTGGTGACTCCGCATTCACGGGCTCTGAGCTCTCGTTGCATTTTCCTTAAATAGACAGGTCTCATTTCAAATGTATTTACATGTTTAAACATGGGTTTCCAGTGGAAATTTTCCAGTGGGTAACCATTTTCTAGTGGTAATTTGCATTCAGACAAATGATTAGAAGGTGTTAACTCAAAGACACACCCTTATGTGTGCAAGATATATTCTTCAGAACTTTATTACCTTTTGATTTACTTCTTTGGGAATGAGACATTTGTACTATCACCCTGAGACCTTTAAAATGGTACTAAACACAATCCTTAATGATAATCATTCACATTAAAACCATATATATTCTTGTGTGAGTTTTAAGTGTTACAGAGAGAGAGAGAGAGAGAGAGAGAGAGAGAGAGAGAGAGAGAGAGAGAGAGAGAGAGAGAGAGAGACTCATGTCATATTTTTTTCCCTTCATCTCCCCCCTTTAATGGTTCCGTAGTTCGCAATTGTAAGTTACAAAGTCAGCATTGCGAGATACAAAGTCACAAATAATTATCTTACGTAATATTAAAGGAACGTAATTATTATTATAATAAACATAATATTATATTACGTTCCTGTATATATTGCATGTATGATGGGTGGTTGGTCAGATATTGTGTTTTGTGGTATGCCATACGAAACTGTTGCCAATAAAAACTGCATTAACGCACCAGCGGGGCTCGACAGCCGGTTGGTCCGTATGGTTGGGTTGCGGAGAGATTGTGAGATTGTGGTTAGGTTGCAAGTGAACTATGAGGAAGGAGCAACCTCAGCAGCAGGAGAGATGTAAAGGTCAGTAAGCTGGGCTGAGTTGAGTAGGGGACGGAGTCACTGTCGAGTCCTCATGAGGTGTAGTGGGCTAGTCGACGAAACACTGAGGAGTGGATGGAAGGTGGCCACTTGAAGACCCTAGACATGTCCCCTACTCAGCTCAGTCTAGACGGTTTTGGTGCTGGGGAGATCACACTGTAGTTGCTGTTGTGTGTGCTGACGCACCAAGTACACTGCAGCCGTTAACGCCGGACAGAAGGGGAGTCACACCACCATAAGGAAAGAAGAGTAAATGGATGGAGAAGCATAGTTTACTGTAAAGCTACGTCTTAGTTTTGCTTATCTTGGTGAAAGCCGAGTCCAAATCAGCATGAAGTTTAAACATCTACTCTCGTGTAATGGATATCCTTTTTCTTTTTTATTCTGTGGGTGCAAATAAGCTTTCATAGCATCATAAGAACAAGCATAAATTCTCAACAACAACAAAAAGAATCTAAGACTAAAATTACAGCTATTATAAAAGTAAAACCACAAAGGCCTGAGAATGTCAAAAAGTTATCTTTGCAAAATTCCATCAAACCTGTGTTGGACAAACTCACGTATAATGAGATGTGCACTTCCAAGTGTTTAAAATCGCCAGACATGGCATTTGTCCAAAAACATGATGCAATATCTCATTTCTGAGATTGCATCCGTCACTCAAAATGTCCCGACATCATATCCTGCTCTTGTGATTAGCATAGCTGGGAAAGCCGAACTGTGAGATCATGATGTTGGAGTAGCGGAGCGGCATTTCTCCGTAGATCTGCGTCAGCTTGTTGAGGCAGTAGGAGCGCTGCAGCATGTGCTCCGCTCTGTGCCACATGCCCACATACCCGCTGCTGGCGTCCTTCTCCAGGTTACGCATATCTACGGGCCTCACGAACACCCCGGAGGGGCGCTTCAGTCCGGACGCCTGCGAGAGATGATGTGCCACAGCAAAGTTCATGGCGATGTCGTCACAGTTCTGGGTTTGGTCCACCAGAGCGTGCACTTCACCGGGCTGATCTTGGAACAGCTTCAGGAAGCGCCCATGGAAGAACGCCGCTCCCACTAGGATCATTGAATAGCTAATGGAATGGTGAAATTACATTTATTCGTCTGTATTGCGTGATTGTGACTTGTGCTGCTTTTTAAACACACTTTACTTTCGTAATGTGAAATAGGGATCACATACATTTAAAGGAGTAGTTCACTTTAAAAAAAAATCTTTTGCTGATAATTTACGCACCCACATGTCATCCAAGATATCCATGTCATTCTTTCTCTAGTCGAAAAGAAATTAAGGCTTTTGATGAAAACATTCCAGCATTTTCTCCATATAATGGACTTTAATGGGAACCAAACAGCTCAAGGTCCAAAAGAGAGTTTCAGTGCAAACTGTTCAAAGGGCTTTGAATGATTCCAGACGATGAATAAGGGTCTTATCAAGCGAAACGATCGCTCATTTCAAAAATAAATAAAAAGGTTTAAGTTTTATAAGCACAAATGCTCGCCTTGCTCTGTTCTGTGATGAGTGTTCGTGACTCTCCTGTTCAAACTTGTTCATCAAAATGAACAAATCTTTTTTCCAGTCATGACTCGAAGGGTCCTAGATAAGACCCTTATTCATAGTTTGGTGTCGTTTAACGCCCTTTGAAACTGCACTAAAACTCTGATTTGGACCTTGAACCGTTTGGTTCCCATTGAAGTCCATTATATGGAGAAAATCCTGGAATGTTTTCATCAAAAACCTTAATTTCTTTTCGACTGAAGAAAGAAAGACTTGGACATCTTGGATGACATGAGGGTGAGTAAATTATCAGCAAACGTTTTTTGAAAAGTGAACTACTCCTTTAAGTATCCACAACAAGGAACAGCTTGAACAGCTTATATATATATATATGCACAATGTGTATGACGTCATTGACATTTTAAAAGACTTTTTAAAGCACATAAGTGACTCTAAAAAAATCTAACACCCAGTAATGTGTAATTTAGTTGCATCTTATTTCGAATACAACGTTCAAATTACTAGACAAAAAATTATATCCTGAGAAAAGTGGATTTTTAGGGGTATTGCTCCATATACCTCCATTCATTCTGCACTCCACCTGTGAGCGCCCTCATATGAACCCTGAGTGGAACTGCAACCAGTTCAGAACCCAGAAGTTTAATGTGGGAGTTCTCCCCATATTAGAGATTCTCTGTGTTGACTTTAAAACATCTTAAGTCGTTAAGTCCACCCCTAGTGGGCACTCATACAGTTCCAGACATCCGACTGAGCAAGAGAGGGGAAGTTAGTGAGGGAAGAGCATAAATGGACTCAAACGCAGCCCTCAAGTGCAGCACAGCTGTCAATCATGACATTACACTTCGTTTTTATAGCGGTTTATGACCTATACTGCAGCCAGCCACCAGGGGGCGATGCAAATGCTTTGGCTTCACTTTTCAGGAGGTATGAAGCACACTTGCTTTTACAGCTATTAGTCACAGCAATGTTTTCACACAGCTTAGAAATATTTCAGAATATTCAACCATGAAAATATAGGACAAGGCAAACCTTATCTATCAGAAAGTGATGAACAATAAAAAGAGCAGACGGAAAGTTGTTTCGGAGGTGAAGCGAGTTAAAAATTCCTTTTTCCTTTGGAATAATGCGCTCCAATGAATCATGGACAATAAGACCAGTAACAAGCATTAAGTAAGTAGGTCAAGTTTTGGTTTCATGTCCGACTTTTGGATTAATTGGGAATGCAGAATTTTTCCAAATCTCACCTGTCGCCTCCACCTTTGTCTGGATCCTGAAGCTCAAAGCTGCCATAGCTGTACACACCAGATGCTGTGGTCACATGCTTCCGAGGAACAAAACCCACTATCTGATCCGGGAATTGCTACAACACAAATTGAAATGAGAACAAGATTGTTTATGTGTCTCTGAAGAAAGTAATTGAAACAGAATGTAAAAAGATAGTCAAGTAAAACTGATCATATTTCGGAAAATATCTTCACAGAATGTCAATAACACGATGCTTATGGCAAACATTACCTTCCAGACAGATAATGCAAAGCTGATGTCGGGAACACTGACCAATGTGTCATCGTCAAGCATCAAAACAGCTGTTGGGTGAAAGAGTGTCGGTCAGTACAATCTCAAAGACGTAATGAATCTAGTAAGATTGTGCCTTAAAGGGACAGTCCACACAAACATGACAATTCATTCTGCCATCATTTATTCACCATCATGCCGTTCCAAACCTGTTTGACTGACTTGATTGTATTCAATACATGTTAAATTATGATTCTGAAATATGAACTATTCATTTATTACAAATAAATTAGTCCCAGCTCTAAATTGTGACTTCCCTAAAATCTTGACGGTATTTAGATATTAATAATGTATGTTATTTGAATGAATAAAATGTTTAGTAATCTGCACTGTCCCCGTTATATTAAAATGTGTGTGTTTTAATCTAGATCCTTTTATTATCGTGGGCAGTCTCATTTGTCATTTGACCCCTGAGTCTGACCCTAAATGGGAAAAATACATTTGTAACTTTTTTGTGTCTGCTACCTGGCAGGTCACCTCTCCTTCACGTGAGAATCACACACACCTACCGTCCGTCTTGATCTCGGGGTGCGGATGCAGTCGATTGCGCATTCTGTTGACGCTCTGTTCTTTGAAGAAGACGGGCACAGGGTGTGGGCCGAGGTCATCCCACAGTTTCCTGGGCGGTGGCTCGCCGGGGTTATTCCACACTATGATGATGCTCTGCAGGTGAGGCACAGCCTGATAATGATTGAGGAGCCTGAGGAGTATATCGGTGCGGTTGTACGTTTGCATGATTATAGTAAAACTGTCCTTTGGGTCTGGGAGGGTGAGTGAGGCGTTGGATCTATGGCGGAGCTGTCGGAGAATCCTGCCGTCCTCATTGTTAGGCAATAAAAAGGTCAGGGAGACTCCGGCCAGAAGCAGCAACACAATAGAGATGATGATGAAGTGTGTCCGCACTCGGCCCAATGATCTGCAGATGCACAAACCAAACCTGAAGACAGGAGAAGACAAGAGGATTGAAGAGATCCATTATGGTTTCCACAAAAATATGAAGCTGCACAATTGTTTTCAACACTCATAATAGTAAAAAACGTTTATTGAATGGCGAATGAGCGTATCAGAATGATTTCTGAAGGATCATGTGACTCTGAAGACTGGCGTGATGATGCTGAAAATTCAGCTTTGACATCACAGGAATAAACTACATTTAATGTATATTAAAATGGAAAACAGGCATTTTAAATTATAATAATGTTTCAAAATATTACAGATTTTACTGTATTCTCAAAAGAGAAAAAAATCGTACCCACTCGTCTAAATATGTGTTCAGAATAAGGAAGCAAAGTCATAGCTTTTAGAGTAAAGCAACTAGTTTTGTAATCCTTCAAACACATTTTACACATTTCCACACTGACCATAACAGCATTTAGCCTACAGAACTATTGGTGGAATTTAATAAAGGGGGAAACATTTTTATTAAATGTAGATATAGCACTGAGACACTGTTATATCATCTCTGTGCAGGTTTTGTTCTCAAATGTTTCAGATGTTGTTTAATGGCCCAAACATAAAAGGTCCAAATCGAGCAAACACAACAAACAGGGAATAATATGTGCTAACACATATGTTCATTATACCCGGATGCCTATCATGCATGCCAACAGTTTTACTACAAATTCTTGTGTGCCTGTCTAAAAACAACAGAAAACATTGTAATTAAAACTTTAACGGTGAAAGACACTGTATGCGACGTATATCACATGCATGCCATGAGGCAAATAAACTCAACAGACATGCAGTCATGATAGACAGTAACATGAGTAGATTTGCATTTTGAACTAAGACCAAGCAAGTACCTCATTGATTGTGTTCCCATCATGTAAACCACAAGACTCCTGAAGGAAGTTTACTTGCTCGCGCATGCGCACTCTGTTTCTACTGAATGGCTGTCCGATTCATTTCTGTGAATCGATTCCGAACGCAGTTCAGTGGTTCTTTACGTCATATCCCACTTGGGTTGGCGTTGGCCACCCCTAGAGTACATTGCTAATTTCTTTATTTTATGGCAAATTCTTCATTCATAAACAAAAGTTTGCAAATGGTATTCTATCCTTATTTTGACAATGAATTAATCTCACTTCTTAAATCTCTTCGTTATTTATTACATAATACAAAATCTCTAAGATGTAACGTTATTAAATATTATGAAGAAATATATATATTTGTTGAAACACATGCACAAATATGTCCTTGTATATTAATGTATCTTATTGTATCAATAAATTTGTTGTGTGCCTTCTTGCCGACCGTGTCATCTTTTGTTTTTCATTGTTTTTGTATAATCATTTTTTTTTTCTTTGTTTGTTCTATGCATGTAATTAATTGACAATGTTCTTACGGTATGTTATTATTGAGCATAAAAAGAAGAAATAAAAAAACCTTGGCCACGAAATTCCATGTATCCCATTCAAGTTTGTTGGAGCGATTTATCTTTTAAAAACATAAAGCCATTGAGAAACTAAAAAAGATTTGTATTTACTTTCCGAATCTGGTCCGAATGAGCAGCTAGACCACTGATTCGGTCAGTTTAACAAACGATTCGTGTTCATTCGGTTCATTAAAATATTCGACTCAACAGAACAATTTCGTTCACGACGCTAATTTCTTTAAAGTAGAGATAGGTGAAGCATTTTACGTGTTTTATTCTGTGAGGTTACAGACATATTTACAGAAACGTTCGCGTTCTTTCCTGCAGAGAGTGGCAGTTAGTGAGAAACAAAGTTAGTGCTGAAACCGGTTTTCTTCTCTGATGTACATCGACTCGTGTTGTGCACATGAGCTGATATGGTGACAATTTTTCCCAGCAGCTGCACTGCGCTGTCCTGTCCTACGGTTAGGCTGTCGAATGGACAGAACATTCCCATTCTGGGTTTAGGTGAGATTATGACATCCGAATGCAACAATATATGATATAAATGATAGAAGAGTGTTTCTACTAACTGGCACTGCTTGTTTATCTGACTTGGCCAATCTGACTCACTCAGTAATAATTTTGGCTAACATATAGATTTATTTATTAGATACAAATTTTAAATTATGACATAAAAGATATAAATTATGACATAGAAATACATATGTCCTAACTGTGACAGTCATAATTTATTCTTTGTTTGTATAGTTGTTTTTATTTATTCTTTTTAATATAATTATGACTTATGTCTGACTTTATCTCATAATTTCATAATGACATAAATAGTCATAATTATGACTTAGCTTAGACTTATGAGATGACATGGTATGTCATATGACTTTTCATGTCATAATTAAGATAGATTTAGTGTTTGAATAATTAAGTGTTTGTATGATAGACAGACACTTTCTTCCTCTGACAAGACTAAAAAATAATTGAATTTTAGAAACGTTCTCAATGAAAATGCTCAGTCCAAAATCCACCAAACTGCAGGAATGTTTTTGGAGTGTTTATAAAAAGTAGTTTTTTGTTAAGTGACATCAAAACTGCCATCATATACTCTTTACCAGTTATTATTTGTGCAGTGTCTTTATTGTCAATACGCATACACAAGTGTAACGGTTTTGAATTATTGCCGTCTCTCATTCGTCAGGAACATCTCATGATGGAGGCTACAGTCATGAGGCGGTTCTTTATGCTCTACAGGAGTGCGGGATAAGACACATAGACACGGCCAAGCGTTACGGCTGTGAAGAGGCTTTGGGGAAAGCTGTGGCTGACAGTGCTGTTCCACGAGAGGAGCTCTGGCTCACCACCAAACTATGGCCTGGAGATTACGGCTACCAGAGCGCCAAACAAGCCTGCCGGGACTCGTGTGCCAGGCTGGGGGTGGATTACTTGGGTAAAAGAGTGACATTTTGAAGGGATGGTTTACCCAAAAAGTACAATTAGCCCATGATTTACTGACCCTCAAGTCATCCTAAGTGTATATGACATTCTTCTTTCAGACAAATACAATCAGAGTTATATTAAAAAAAATGTGCTGGCTCTTTCAAGCTTTATAATGGCAGTGAATGGCTGTTTCTGTTTTGAAGTCAATTAAAGTGCATCCATCCACGGGCGGGTTAATAAAGACCTTCTGAAGCGATGCGTTCATGTAAGAAAATGTCTATATTTAAGATTTCATAAAGTAAAATAACAGAAACAGCCATTCACTGCCATTATAAGGCTTGGAAGAGCCAGGACATATATTTTTAATATAACTCTGATTGTATTCGTCTGAAAGAAGAATGTCATATACACTTAGGATGACTTGAGGGTGAGTAAATCATGGGCTAATTTTCCTTTTTGGGTGAACTGTCCCGTTAAGTCAAAACTGGACCTCAATGCTAGATTTCTTTGTAAACAACCATTGAATGTCTTGTAATGGTTTTTGAAACAACTGTTTTCCACAGACCTGTATCTGATGCACTGGCCTGACTGCATGGTTCCAGGTCTCTCCAGTCGCGAGGTTCGGGCAGAGACGTGGAGAGCTCTGGAGGAGCTTTATGATGAGGGTTCGTGCTCTTTTTGGCTCATTCCACTGTGTAGAAATGACTGTAACTCAGACAGTAACTCTTCCTTGTTGCAGGTTTGTGTCGTGCCATTGGAGTGAGTAACTTTCTCATCCACCACTTGAACGAGTTGAAGGATCGCGGTGGAATCGTGCCTCATGTTAACCAGGTACGACTGAACGGATGGCTTTTGACGCAACTCTTCAAACTTAAAAATGAGAACTGCATCAGCTGATGATGAGGATAATGAACTTTGTTTAGAAAGCATGAAGTGCAAAAAAGGAGCTGAGAGTATTAATAAAATAGAAAAACTACTGTAGTCTTTAAAAAAAAAAAACATGAAAATGTATAAAGAATTCATGGTTATTTTTATTCTCCATGATATCAAAATCTGTTAATAAAAGAGTAGTTCACTTAAAAAACAAAAAAATCTTTTGCTGATAATTTACTCACCCCCATGTCATCCAAGATGTCCATGTCTTTCTTTCTTCAGTCGATCAGAAATTAAGGTTTTTGATGAAAACATTCCAGGATTTTTCTCCATATAATGGACTTAAATGGGAACCAAACAGTTCAAGGTCCAAATGAGAGTTTGTTCAAAGGACTTTAAACGATTCCAGACGATGAATAAGGGTCTTATCAAGCGAAACGATCACTCATTTAAAAAAAAAAATAACAAAGTTTAAGTTTTATAAGCTCAAATGGTCGCGTTGCTCTGTTCTGTGATGCGCGTTCGTGACTCTCCTATTCGAACTCGTTCATCAAAATGAACAAATCTTTTCTCGAGTCAACTCGTTAATTTTCACGAAAACCGATTCGTTCATTTTGATGAACGAGTTCGAACAGGAGAGTCACGAACGCGCATCACAGAACAGAGCAAGGTCAAAAGGTCAATATCAAAAATATACAAATGTATTCATTCCTCATTTAGCTTTATGCGCAGTATAATAATAATATATATTTATATAGTAAATAATCGATGCATGAGGCCAACGAAGGCTATCCCATCTGGTCTAAGCCAACAGAAGGTCTACTGTGGCACAAGTCCCACAATTTTAATTATGAAAAGTTTTTTTTTTTAAAACGGATCAATATGAAGCTGAATGATTTATTGAGTTTGATTTACTGGCAGGTGGAGTTTCATCCCTTCCAGCAGCCCCTGGAGCTGGTTGAATATTGCCGAAAGGAGGATATTGTTTTTGAAGGCTACTGTCCTTTGGCCAAAGGTCAAGCCCTCACTCACCCAGCAATCACGAAGCTCGCCCATAAATACGGCCGCAGCGCGTCACAAATATGCATCCGCTGGAGTATTCAGGTACAGTTTGCTCTTCAAAAGATGATCCTCAACTGCAGTTTATAGGGATCACGCAAAATGCAGTATTCTGACATCATCTACTCCCACTCATGTTGTTCCAAACCCGTAGAAACTTAAATAATATAATATTTGTGAAGTATCTGTCTGTTTCAATAATGTAATGATCATCTTCCAACTGTGAGTTTTGTTTGAGATATATTATTTTCTTTTCCAGAATGTCATGCATATATAATTCAGAAGTAGCCGTTATAATATTATTCATTAACTTTGTTCTACATTTCTTTACAGAATGGAGTTGTCACAATTCCAAAGTCCACCAAACCGGACAGGATCCTTGAAAACTGCCAAGTACGTTTAAAGCTGGAATCATTTTTTTTAATAATAATAATTTGTTACATTTATATAGCGCCTACAGATATAGATGTGTGTGTGTGTATAATATATACAGTATATTTTCTTTGAGATCATCCTTTTTAAACCACACTCGTAATGTTGTGCTGCGCAGGTGTTTGGGTTCAGGTTGGATGATTCAGACATGGCAGCTCTGAGTTTGTTGCATGATGGGAGACACGTGAGCTGGGACCCAACTCATGTGGAATGACCAAATCTCCAAGAAAACCACCTGTTCAGGTGAGCTTGGAAAACGGTCTAGTTTGTGATTTACAAATAACAGGGACCAAAATGGTATTGTAGATTAAAGTAGTAATGTACATTATGAAGGATGATCTCAAAGACAGTTTCAGTGTTTCATGACTTTTGCGTAAACATACACGCCACTTTCAAGTCAAGTGGCGCGTTATCTATACGCATTTTGAGCTAGCCACGTGTATGTTTACGCTGTTAAATGCCCGAGCGAAATTAAGCAAAATGTATATTTTTTTCCTAGGATGGTAGGGGAAGACTCATAAATCGTATTAACCCCAGTAACAAGTTGGTCATATATTTATATAAAGTAACGGCGTTCATAAACATGCTGAAAAGCGATTATTTGTGTTGATAGCACGCCAAAAATGGAAATATGAAATTGGCGTGTCATACATATGCCATTTCATGAGATCAGTCTGGGATTTGAGTGTTTTTCTTTACCTGATAATCATATTAGCTTCATAATTACATAACAGGTTTTTGGATTCACATTAAGAGCAGAAGACATGGACCAAATTAGTGGTTTGCACACCAATCAGAAGCTGATTCATCTCACTCATCCAATCTGGAAAGGATAACCTGGCAATCAAAATCCAAGAGGTTTGTTTTTAGGACGCTGACGGATCCTGATCTCAATGTGAAAGGAAAGGTCATTTATGAAAGTGATGAATTCAAGGCAATCAGTGATTTAAAGTCCCTGTGAAATCAAAATTGAACCTATTTACTTTGTTAGCGCATATTACTAGTCTTGTGGTGAACAATTAATCCGTGCAAGTGAATATATATTAAAAAAATGTTTTTTAGTAATCTTTAATCGAAATCTGAAAAGTTACTTCCGGTCTGGAACGGTTTCTTTTTCTGATGACGTAGGTTTCACAGTTTGGGTGGGGAAACGCTTAACCACCCCCCTCAAACCGTTAGTTTGCTATGAGCGAGAGATGGAGAGGAGGAGCGCTAGAGTAAAACCCTGCCCTCTGTTCAATATTCCGTTTCACTTGCAAATACGTCACAGCACTGGAGAAAAATCGTTTGCAACTTCCGGTTCACGGGGACTTTAAAAGCAGCTGCTGTCACACGTGCCTTTTTAAATGACATAGCAAATGTGGTATTTTATGGTCTAAATATTTATAGTTACATTAGTAGGGGGAGTACAGGGTACAGAATCTTTGCCTCAAATATATATTTGAAATATTAGCATGCATTATCTGTGCCAAATGTATTTACAAATACACAACCTCAATGTGTATTTATTGTGTACTAGCTTGTACACTCAAACACGAAACATGGATCAACATAAAACACTGTATTATTATCAGTTGCAGATGCAGGTTCTGTTCTCCTCTATTATGTAAATCTGTCAAATTGTTGGTTAAATCAAAAACACCACTTTAGCAACTGTTTCTAATTCTATTTTAAACTCGTAGAAATGTGAAATTGTTAAAAACAAGAATAAAGTGTTGCTGATGACTTCTCATGCTGTTCCACTACTTCTTTGATGCTTCAAAAAGTTCATAAAGAAATTGTAAAACTAATCCATATATGCGAATTTTCTGAAGAGACACGCTCACTTTATATGATGAAGAGATTCAAGTTAGGCTTTTAATTCACATATGAACATTCCTCAATCAATACACACACACATCAGTTGTGATAAACAGCTGCTCAAACATGTTAACTTGATGTGCAAGAGCCAATGAGGTTCACTCTCGTGAGCTTCTGCAAGAGCCAGTGAGGTTTGGTAATGTTTTTATGTTGCTGATTAATGTTTGTATGCGTGTAATATGATATTCAAGAAAAATGTATTTTTGAGTATCATATTGCACACGTCAGGCTTTAATTTATTTAAAGAATTTTTAACATGATGTATAAATAATCAAGTAATCACATGTTACCTCAGTCCAGTAAGTGTTCATCTTGCATTTACTTTATAAAAATCAAAAAAAAAAGAACTATCAATCAGAAATATCAATTACCTCCAACACATTAAATGAATAAATAAGTCATGTTTTGTTTCGTTTTTTGAAGTCAAGAAATTGTATTTGTGTCCTAAATTAATTTTCCGATGTCTCTTTATAATCTTTTTAGGTTTAAGGTGCAATACCTTGAACCATAAACTTCTAGTTTAAGTTCTGTACAATATGTGTGATCAGTCAGATCACATGCCATACATTGAGCTTGTCCTGAATCAGGAAAACTACGTACGTAGATCTGTTAGAGTTTCTGCAAAGCCGCAGTGTTGGGACTGAAAGGAATCCTAAAAAAAAAAAAAGAAATAAAATAAAAATAGCAGAGCCAACAAACATCTTTATAGCAGTGTTACCAATATTGTTTATTCCATCCCTCTCATTTAGAATCGTTGTACACAAGTTACATTTTCTTCTCAATATCACAGGTTCTGTTAAATTATTTCTTATTTAAATCTTGTCCTCTAATATCCAGTTTCACCTCCCTCTCCTTTTAAACAAACAAAAAGCAGATTGTATTATACAAAAATGCAAACCAATTTTCACACAGTGAATTCTTTTACAAAGTCATAAAATGGCGTAATAATGGCTACATCCACATTGGAGTAAGATGGTTCTAAACATTCCTTAATGGAGTATAATATATATTTATATATAAAACCTTTCCTTGTTGAAATTGAGCCTGTACCTTAATTTAAGAGATTTTACAAGACAACTTGGAAGTAATCATAAAAAAGCCATTACATTTCCCAAAAAGTTAGGAATAAAACAAAACGACAAAAAATAAAGACAGCCATAACAGTGTTATAAGGTTCAAAACGAGTTAATTTGCATTTCATTTAAATGAATTCAACAGGTCTGTTCAAAACAGACACAATCCAGGCAGAGAAATGAATATCATCCATTAGGAACAGACCCATTCTCAAAGAAAATCACATTATTCTGCAATTTCTCACTTGAGGAAGAAGAACCTCATGCACAAAACTGTAAATGAGCCTGACTGAGTCGTTTCCCGTAAGTCGCAAAAGTGTGGATGGTTGACGATTTGTAAAACAAACGAACAAAATATCCACGCCCGAAGTAATACGCTCAGTGAGATCACTGATCATTAGAGGGGGAAAAAAGTTCTACAGCACCCAAGCAAGTGCTAAATATTAAATACAAGATAGCACATTCCCATACGATCCAAAGATTCAAATAGAAGCAGCATCCCGGCATTGGAGAATGCTTACCGTCGTACAGCTTTGGGCACTCTGCGAAAGCCAAAGAAATCTCAACACACCTGCCAAACGCTGTCGTAGCAGCGATTAGCATTGCGAAACTTGCTAGTGCTTGCGCCAGACAAAAACTAAAGAAAACCCAATGCTAACCGAACCGGTGACAGGAGCGTGTTAGCCAAGCTCCTAAAAATTGTATGGGTAACAGCTGGGAGGAGGAAAATAAACACAAATCCTCACCTCTGTGTAAAAGCCTCGCCATTTAACGTTTCTAAGTCACGTTCAAACGCCTCTATAGGCGTGACGTCGAAATAAGCCGCTGGATTTAAACGCCTCCTGCTCACTTTTCCCCCTTGTATCAATATAAATAGAATTCTCTAAACGCGTCAAATCTCATAAGAACATGCCTGGAACATATTTCATCTCAATATATATTAAAAATTTACATTTGCATTCAAATCAAGTACAATTCTCCATGTGTTTCCAATTTGGGGAGGTAGATGTGCTTAATTGTCATGAAAATGACACAAACAAAACAAAAACATGGTTTCTTTAACTAAATCTTTGGGTGAAATGCGACTTGGCATGTTCTTATGAGTTTCACTTTAATACAACAGAGGTGGAAAGATCCAGCCTGACATCAGATTCACCAGAGAGGAAACAAGCGGCTCAGCTGAGAAATCCTAAGTGGCGCATTTCAGATCAGGCAGAGCCTCGGCTAATTCAGGAGATCTTCAACAGAATTCAGTTTCCTTGTCGAGGAGAGGGGGCAGCACATTTAGCATGGACGTCAACGCGATACGTCTAAAACCTCGACAGTGAGGTCGATGTCGTCGGCACACCTCGACGAGTGCTTGAAAAAGGCTGCGTGTGCTCTTTCACGAGCAAGAACATCAAATAATGACCGTGACTACAAGTCATCGTAATAAGAGAAATCATCTATATCACCACGGGTATAGCACAAAAACCACAAAAGATTACACATTAAGAGGTTGCACCCAAAATTGGAGCTTTATATCATAGTCGGTCTCAAGAGACTAGAACAAAATGTCACACGTGAAGAATGTCATCACTATAGGAAGACTTCAGACTTCAAATACTCTTGTTCTCTTTATTTACGGGGCCTTGTTTGGAAACGGTCGCTGTGTAGAAACGCGCCTAAGCAGGTTGATGAAGGGATGGGCCTCGATCCACGCGACGTTCGGGTCGCATTAAAGTCTGCTCGTCTCATTTCTACAGAAATTCATAATCGTCTCTAATCGTCTAGAGTTGATTCCAAACTAATTTAGAGTTTATAAAGAGAAAGAGGAAACTTAAATAGCTCATCAATAATAAACATCTGTCTGGATTTTGATTTAAAGGGATAGTTAATCCAAAAAAGAAAATTGTCAGAATTTACTCCCTTCATGTCTTTCAAACATTATTCTGTAGAATGCAAAACTGTTTTTGTCCATTTTTTTTTAACATCTTGGTTTTGAACGGCATTAAGGCGAGTCGACGACAACATAACGTATTATTGGTTTAACTATCCCTTTAACGAAGCATTCTCACCAAAGCAAATTTCGAAAAAAAAAAGAAAAAAAAATTTATCAGAGTGTCAAAACTATAACGCACTCGTTCAGCGCTACGGGACTACGCACCCCGGTGTGTTTCTTTGCAGCAATTTAATGGCGAAACCCGAATATGCAAACTCGACCAGGAGAGCCAAATAAGCAACTTCACAGAAGTTAGGGAAAAATGATGAAATTATTTCCTTAATAGGCTGTAATCTTACGAAGACTGTGGCACAGGGAGAAACAAAAATCATCCTGACCACAGAGCTCTGAAGAACACAAGGGAAGTGAAGTGTTCGACTAAACCGACTAAAAAGCACACACTCATGGAAAACATGGAAAAAAGTGCTCGTTTTTTTTAAAGACGTCCGTTTGCATTCTATAAAACAGAATGCTTTAGACACGCGTCATCACACATTTACAAATTCCTTAACAGTTATATAGCCAAACCATAAATTAAATGAAACCTGACAACTGAATATATATATATATATATATATATAAAGATATCTCTCTCTCTCTCTCTCTCCCCCCTTGTGTCATCCAGAGCTCAATCGAACTGCCTTACAGCGATATACTGCCACGGTTGAGCGTCATGTGAGGAGACCCGTGTTAACGGTCCATAAAAATGGATTCATAAAAGGTTCTCCATGCTACTTTAAACCTGGTGAGTCAGATCATATTCAAGGCTGCAGAGATCCAGGGAGAGTTGGAACGTTTCGACAGAGTCCCGAGTCCCACTATGCTACAAATAGTGCGTCCGATTCTCGTTTGCATTCCACTAGTTTGCGTCGTCCTGTCTGTGCTAGCTTTTGGGTTTGACTGTCCTTTCTTGATATACTGGGAACACAACAAATTAAGCATTATTCAGATGCCCTGGTTTCCAGGCGATGAGAAGTCATTAAAACAAAAAGCTCATTCACAGAACAAAAAGAAAGAAAATTTATATCACGGCAGATACTGCTCATTTTCTAAATAAAACAACAGAGAAGTTTGTGTCGTGCATGCATGTAGCAGCATGCAGGTGTGTGCGTGTTCGTGTGTGTCCCTCCGTCTGATTATTAAAAACGCATCTCGCAAAACCTCTTGAAACTGGTTGAATTGGTCAAGAGACAAATTTCAAAGCCCTCCGAGGAGGAATATTGACCTCTGGAGAGGTTGTCTGCGTATATGTGTGCGTGTGTGAATACACTCTTTTAAGAGCAAGAGTGAACGACCCCGTTCTTTTGAAGGTCTGAGCTACTCGCCGCTTGGTCAGCGGAGCAGAGGGAGAGAGACGACGTCTTATTGGCCAGCGAGAGCATAGATCCACCCATACTGCTTGCTGGCTTCATGCCACTGGATCCATTAGACACCTCGCTGTTGGAGAGAAGGGGAACAGACAAAAGAGAGTAAGTGTATTAGTGGAACAGAGCAACAGGAAAACAAACAACAGAAGACTTTGCTGATGGTAGCTTAAGGAAATAGCTTAACGAGTAACAATGTCAAGGTAAACGTGTAGAATGGAGACTGGATTTGAAAATCGATTCATCTCATTATTTGTTCATTTAAAGCTGAAGTCGCAACCATCTCTGAGTAAAATTAACCACTCATGAACTTATTAACATGATTATACAGTGCATCTCTCACATTACATATGGCAGACAACTAGCTGTCCAGTTCAGACTGCACGATTTTCAAAGTAGTCGGGTCGCTGTTCTTTTCACTTATTACACATATCTAATAGCAAAATGATTTTGAGACAAATACTTCCTTTAAGTTTCGTTGAGGGAGACCGGTATAAGAAAAGAAAACACGAAGTGCTGTTAGAAACGCCGTTATCTTTATGTGTCTGAAGCGTCTGTCAGCGCAGCGCCGTTTCTCACTCGAGCATAAAGTGCTTGCGGCGCCCCTGCATATTGTTTTTCTTAATATAAACGTGAAACGATATAAACACGATAATCATATCCTGACTTGAGTGTGTGTGTACGTTCTGTACGATATCTGGCGCAATCTGCTTTATTAGGCTTTTTTTTAATTGTTCACACTGCTTGAACGTCCCTTTATTAATGATTTTGATTTTTAACCTAAAAGAAAACTCTAACATATATAGTAAGCTTGTTGTGTATATTGCCTAATTGTAAGCTTGTTCAGAAATGGTGACAAAAACGTAAAAAAAAAAATTTTTTTCGTTAAACGTCATTTAAGTAATTGATGAGTAATTGATGAATTTATGACAATTTTTTGTAAATAAATATTTTGTAAAAATATATATTTTGTATAAAATAAAAAATATATAGAGCCGTATACTTGATTTAGTGTAAATTTAAACTTCCATAACTTTTTCATACTTTCATTTGTTTTCACTTCAGAAATAATCTGCTGAGTGTTTTCTTTAAAATAAGACCAAACTTGGGTATATATTCCAACGCATTCTTGAATTACAACTGTTTAAGTTTGAATAGTGCATTTTAACCCCCATTCTCAAAAAAGGGGGGTTGACAGCTAAGGGGTTTAATAGCTAGTAAACAAGTTTCCTCACTCACCCCAGTGCTAAAGAGAGTTCCTCCAGCTGGGCTTTATGGTCAGGCTGCCCGTTCTCTGTGGCCTTCAGCTTGTACTCATGGGCCACCTGGTTCTCCTTCAATCATAAAAAAACATGGTCAGTGAGCTCAGACTGTTCATACCAGAATAAATCAGCACTTCTAGAAAAAAAATAACCTCACAAAAACACTCATAACTGATGCCATACATTTCCTGTGTCACTAACAGTGGCTGTTTGACTCACAATGGCAATTTCTCGGGTTCTCTTTCCGATCTCTCTCTCTACGTGATGAAGCTCCAGGCTGAGCTGCTCACTGGACACGGTGCCACCTGAAGACCACTTCACTCCGGCCGCGGGCTGAGACGCCAGCGCGCATGCCTCCCTCTGCAGGAGCATGGAGTTACTGGCAGCCTGAGCGCACAAGCGCAATATTCACATTAATTATTTTTTAGTTGGGAGTCATGAATTTAGACGGAAATTTCAAACACACCTCCATCCCGCGGGTCTGCTGACTGATCTGTTGGTTGACTTGCTGGAGCTCAATCTTCAGCTGCTCGCGGTCAGGGGCAGACATGGGCAGACTGGCAAAAACATGGTGGAAAAAAAACACAATGCTCAAAAAAAAAAAAAAACAAAAAACCTGATTATGCATCTGCATAGATTATTTCTTCGAGGAAAGTTCATGAACATCATGAAAGAACATTTTACTAGACTTAAATGGCATATATACAAACCTATTTGTAACAGGCTAAACTTCTAATTCTTTCAAAATTTCTATTTTTTAAAAACATTATTAGTGCATTGTTAATATCTTGTCGCTTTCATCACCATTGTTTTCAATTAAAAACATCCATGAAGCATCTTTTCATCGTGTCTTCAGCAATGATAATAACATAATTCTTTGAACATTTCTGTTAGTAACTTCAGTGACGAGACTGACACTGTAAAAGGCAAGAGTCAGTACCGCTCGCTGAAGTGTCCCTGAGAGTTGATGCTCTGGTGCTGAGGATACGACGTTCCGCCCCATCCGCTGTGGCTTCCATACGGATATTCTGCTGAGAGGAAAACAAACTTTACCAAAAATAAAACTACAACTGCTGAGCAAGAAAGTCTACATGATTAATGATTGAATCATCATTCATTGTTAATAGGTGTAGCATTGTTTGAAGTCACTTTCAAAGCAATCTACTTTCTGTTGGATATCGCAGCAAATCTGGGTGACCAACTTAAAGACAAAACTTCTCATCGCTTGGATTAATACTGAAATGTCTATGGAAGAGCATAACTGCACTTTAAATCAATAGTGCACACTGAGATTCATGTTCGCTTCTTGAACCAATACACCATTGAAATTCCAATAATTCAATCTCTAAATTAACCAAAATCTGATCTCCACAGATCATTCTTGAAGACTGGAAGAACGTCACTCCTGCTTTATGGTTAAGAAATAACAATTGTTTTTGTATTCAAATCCGTTTACTTTTCTTTCTTTTTTCAAATAGTGAACTTTTTTTAGTTAACAGTGCTGGAAGTTCTGAACACTTTCACTAAGGCAGACCACACTGAATATGAGCAGTTTTTAAATGAATCGGTCAAAACAAAAATCACAAGTATATGTAAACTTGTTTCTGCCATGGATTAAAAAAAAAAAAATAACTCTGAAAGGGTAATTGAATTTTTATCTCTCAATTGCATGGTATAGTGTCACAATAACAACTAATACATTTAGAATTGCATGATATAAAGTCATGATTGCGAGTTATAAAGTCAGAATTGGACTTTATAACTCGAAATGGTGAGTTTATATCTCACAATTGCGTGGAATAAAATTCAGAACTGTGAGTTTATACAGCAATTCTGGTGTTATAACTTTCAATTGGACTTTATATCATGCAATTGTGATAAAATTCCATTCAAATGTACTGAAAAGTATTAAGAAGTGTTAATTGCACCTTTCCATCCACCAGAAAGCTTTCCATCCCTATTGAAGACTATTATAAAGATCTCCAGTCACCTGTCATGTGTTTGGAGCCCGAGACCTGTGAGGACGCCATGGCCTGTACAGGCCCAGTGGTCTGGTAACCCGTTTTAGAGGTACGTGAAATGGCACCAAAAGGAGACACTGTGGGCAGAGGACCAAAGGGAATGATGGGATCGTCGTCTTTGGCTTCCGCGGAGCGCCGCTGGGTGTCCAGTGGAGGTTCACGCAGAACTTTTCCCTCTGCATTCTGTTGTAGGACAGTACAGGAAGGAAACAAATAAGACCCATTACTAATAGTCTCAGTTGATGTGTGGAAACACAAAGTGTGATGTAGATCACTTGCCATCATCTCCACGGCATTACTGACATCTTTTGGTTTAGCATCCTTGGAGCCAATGTATGATCCTATGGTGTCACACGACCACGGGGAATACTGCCCAGCATAGTCCGGCTCCCGACTTCCAAAGGCTTTAGAGCCGTCCTGCAAATACTGCAGACATTCAGAATTCAAAAATTACAAAGAGCAATGTTAAGCATCATATTATGGAGGCTTGTTTCCAGCACGGATTAAAAAAAACACAATTTTAATCTCACAATTCTTTATTCTCACTACTGCAAGTTTATATCTAGCAACTCAAGTTTTTTTTTTTGTTTCTGTCACATAATAAAGTTACATTTAGTCAAAATAGACTTTTTTCCAACAATTCCGAGCTTCCCTCAAAATGCTTTTCTTGTCAGAATTACAATTGCAAGCTAACTTGTTTCAAATCTGATTTTTTTCTCATAACTGAATTGTCAGATATAAACTCAAAGTAAGAATTGTGAGATAAAAAGTTGCAATGATCATGTTCATTTTTTATTCTGAGGAGAAAATAAGGCTCAATGTTATATTCATGATGATATAACTAAAAGCAAGCATTGGGGGATCTCGTCCAGGACTCACCTCCTGAGGGTAGTCGTTGGGGAACGGGTGTGTAGGAGTGGGGGAGGCAGCGAAGGGGGGAGGGGAGATGACTTTTCTCTCTTCCAGCTGGACAAGCAGCTCCTTGCGCCTGCGGTGCAAGTCATCCAGACTGGGCTGAGGGCGGCTGTATGGATCCTGCCGAGGGAGAACATATAAACAACTGAACTGACTCGAGGTGCTTAAGGAATCCAGTGCAACAAGTACTCAAATTAAAAGATTTGGTATAAAAACTTACTAAAAATGGACAGAAATTAAAAGTTGTCTCTCTTAAATAACTTTAGACAACAAATTACAGAATCACTTAAAAAAGATTCACAAACATCTATTCATAAGTTGATAAGTATGTGGATGTTTTTAGAGTGCTATTATTCATTCATTACATGTTGTCAAATCGACAACAAATAAAAGTCTCATTTACCTAACATATTAGGGCTGAACGATTAATTGCATTTGCGATAAAATCGCGATATGATGAAACGCGATATGATGAAACACTGGTCACGTGACACGCGAGAGAAAAGCAGTCTGCAAGATAAAGCATCAACTTGCCACGCTACGCGGTCTGGCGTCCAGAAAAGAACAGTTTATTGTGTTATTTATTCTCTCCTCTCCTCAACAATCCTGGATCGATTCAGAGAATTTCAGAATCGAGTCTGAGCTTAGTTTTTAAACACAGATGCGTGATGACGCTGCGCGCGCTTTAGAAACGAACCGGGTTCTGAATCTGCTTGCTTCTATTTTCTCGCTCTCTCTCTTCCTCACTCACACACACGACACCGCTCGAACCTTCCAAAACATAGTAACGTTATTTTATAAAGGTCGGGGTTGAACCAAATTACAAGGACATTCGCGGGCTTCATTGAACAGGTTTTGCCGCTTTGCTTGATGTTATAACGTTACACTGTTGCAGTGCGCGTTCTCTCCCGCGGGAATTTTCTTTACAAATGCTTCACAGAGGCATTATTTATGTATTTTGGAATGCAGTTGGCTTATATTAAAACCATGAAAATCACTGAGAAGGCTGCTTTCATTTTAAAATACTAACGCGTGCTTTGTGAAGAGCGCTCGTGCATGCGGCCGTGAGCGACTCATTGGTAAATGTACTTGCATGTCAAAATGCTTTTATGACGTGAAATTTATGTAAACACGGTCAGTTATATCTTAAACCAACAGGACAAACCACATTTACAATTTCAAAAGAGATATATGCATTAGTGTGAATGCAGCTTATCGTATCTAAACTGAGGGGAAAATCACTCCAGCTCTTGAATGAAAAACATTCAGACAGCCTACTTTTAAATACTGAGACCACTCTTTGTTTATTGCTTGTACTGTTTTTTTTTTTTTTTTTTTTTTTTTTTTACTAGCTTTTATATTTTGAAGCTATATTATTTTATATAGCCTATTTAAAATTCTTAACATGTAATTGGTTTAATTAAATGTTTTTTTATATTTATTTTTTAAAGTATGTGTTTACACATGTAATTAAATACATATTTTAAGAGTTATTAAGATTAATTAATAAGAAAAAAAGTAGATTGGATCATGAGCTATCTAAAGATTTCCATCCCTACTGTACAATGATTTATTGCTTGTCTTTGTCGACTAATACAGAAGGTAAATAACTTTTTTTTTTTTTAAATCGCATATTAAATCGCAATCGCAATATTGGTTAAAAAAAAAATCGCAATTAGATTATTTTCCAAAATCGTTCAGCCCTAAACCACAGTAATTATTTCTGGTTCATTTTGAATTAGAATGAATGAAAAACTTTGCAGTTTGGGCGAGGGATTATTTTAGTTATGGCTTGCCTTTGAACAATGCATTGATAACACAGAGTCTGATTCAAAGCACTAACTTAAAAGCAAGTTTCATAAATCCTTTTGACTGGCTCAAACCAGTTCTTAAGCACTAAGTCAATGAATCAGAGATTGCGGTTTGAGCTGCATTCTTCGTCAGGTGATATCATTTGCGGCCATTTTGGCCATAGCCTAAAGCCCTGCTTTGTCAAAAACTAACATGACAGCAGCATGCAACGAGAGTGCTATACATGTATAAATCACTCTCTCTGCATACTGCTGTCATATTAGTAACAGATAAATGGTCACAAAAATATATGTGTGCATGTTTATAATCCTGTTAATTTACCTATTTCTACAACTTTATTTGAAACATTATATGCATACATATCAAGCAACGGTTCACAAAATTCACGATTTGGTTCGATACACTTGTGACAGTTCGGTATGTTTTCGATACAGCAAAAAGAAAGAAATACCAGAGAAATTTTCTTGATTTAATTTTTTTTATCATTATATTTTGATTAAAAGTAACATATCATATGATTATTATTTTTTTGTTTACTTTGAGCAATGATGGAGCTATACTTGACTTTTCTATATAAAACAAAACCGCTCTTTGGACAAAATGAAATGTAATATTGTAGTAGTTATAAACAGGTTTGTTTTAGTTTAAATTAACATTTGAGGGCAGCAATTGTATTCATAATGTCAAAATAAAACCGATCTGATGTTACTTGAAAGCATTATAACCTACTATTCCTGCCAAACTTCCATGATTACAGTTAGTAGTGTTACTACAGTAAACCCATGGTGAATGTTGCTGATCTGTGGACACTGGCTAGTTCATTCATGGCACAATGTTTCTCCTCGCGCTGTTTGATCCGTTAATAACAGAGAAATGTGAATGTTTCTCACTAGATCTCTCAGCGATGTAATTAGTGGTGAATTCAAATGCTTTCTTTACTGGATTTGGCTGTGTAGTAACAGTGCTGATGATGAAGATCGGCTCGCGCTGCATTGGTCCAAACTGATAAACGGTCCATCAACCACACAATAACGACTCCGAGTAGCTCAGTTTCGTTTCCGCTTATTTGATGTTGGGCAATGTTGTCACGCCAGCGTCTCCACATTATGAGAGCGCTTGCGATGCGCCTACATTTGAAATAAAAAAATCTTGGTCGACAGGAAAAATGGTCCAATTGGTTTGATTTAAAAGTGCGTACCGAAAACCGAACTGAAAAGTTCAATACGAATATGTGTATCGTTACAACCCTACAAGCAAGTAAACCTATTGTTTAGCAAGCAAAAACTTTAAGAAGAACAGAACTCACTCTTATGTGGGACCTCATTTGGCTGTGATGCGGTCCAGCAGGATAATACCCGTCCGGTGGGTATCTGTCTCTGGATGAGGTCTCCTGGGGGTGGTACAGAGAGCCCGCAGCTCCTGATGGAGGTGGAGGCATAGCAGTCGGGGGAACGTCCAAGGGAACGGGACTCATCCTGACCAAGTCGTCTCTGGGAGGGGCAAACGGAGGCGGGGGTGCGGGATAGTGTCCGTGTCTGCGACTGTAATGGGGGGGCGGTCCATAGGTGTGGGCTGAGAAAGGGGGACCAGAGTGGTGGCCCTGGTATTGGCTTTCTGGGCCGTAACCTGGGTAGGGCTCTGTGTAAGGTGGCACTGCAGACTCGCCCGGGGGAGGCGGGTTGCGGATGTAGCGGGGAGAGACATACTGTGGTTGGTATGGGTAGGGGTTGCCTGAAAGAAAACAAAGGTTATGAGCATTATGAAAAATGCCTATTCACACTAAGGCAAGTATTCATTCACAAATGTCATGCAATACACATTTTAATTTGAATGAACAGCTGTTAATGCAATTGTTCAGACCAACACAAGCATTTGCATGCCGTCAATTTCACAGAGAGGTGTTTTAATCTCCCCTCCAGCGCACTATGAAGAATAATATTCGCATTTGGTAAAATGAACAGATCCGCTGCCATTACATAAAACTTTGACTCGATGGCTCTCAGGAACAGACAATTTTGCTGAATTTCACAGGAAGAATCCTAAAGTGGCTCTCTTGACTGTGTATTCTTGAATTTAGTTATGTTTGATAAACACCACAGTAAATAAAAAAAAATAAAATAAAAAAAAACTGAACGGTTAAAAACATGTAAATAGTGTTTGATTGTGTACCAGGGTATTTCTGCCATCTTTTACACATTGGTCTGCGCAAGGCAAGGCAAGACAAGTCTATTTTTAAAGCACATTTCATACACAATGGTCATTTAAAGTGCTTTACATAAAAAGAATCATAAAATAATCACAACAAGTGCACAGACATATCGCATGCGAAATCGTACCAAATTTTTGTGCCGAACATTCGTTGGGCCTTTAGAAGAAATTAAATGCATTTCTAGTCACAAATTGTACAATAAATTGGTAACAGATCAGTTATTAGCCAATTTATTTTTAAAATATAGTATATTGGCAGACGTTAGACATAATTGTTCATCGTCATTTCTGCTAATTTTTTTACATTTATATAACCACCACTCATTCAAAAGTAAACATTTAATAACCTTGTTAAATGTAATCTTTAGCAAATCCTTAAATTCATATCTCTTATGAATACTGTACATTTGAATGTTGTGATGCTTAAATTTACTTGTAGCATTTACAATTGTTGATTTTAGTTTTTAGCATTTAATGTTTTGATCCATTTATACAAATAAATACATTTGCAATTAAACTTTTAAATTAAAAGATTATGATGGGCCCTCAATATGGCTGGGACAACGCGTCAACGTCATCGATTACGTAGACGCAAAAAAATGCATGTCGATTCGAGTTCTCTTTCGGGCTTGAACGAACTATAACACACACAAATTATGCCAAACTCTCAGTTTTGTCAAGCAGTCTTAAATGAGTAAAATAAAGTATTTTATTTTAAAGAGTAAATTACTCACTCAGACTCCGTTAAAAGATAGTGGAGTCGTTGAATCGTTAGATTAATCGATACATTGAAAAAATAATCGCTAGATTAATCATTTAAAAAATAATCGTTTATCCCAGCCATAGCCCTCAACAAACATTTACAGCTATTCAATAATTCTCAATATATATATATATATATATATATATATACACACACTTAATCACTCTGCATGTTAACATTTTATTTTGATTGGTTGGTCGGCAGTATCTAGTTAGGACACAGTATCAGATGAAAACGTCTTAACGATCAACACTGGGACCTTCGAGAATCTCGGGAGCCAATGAATGACAATATTCGTAATCTGTTCAGACAACCATTCATATGAGCAAATGCATTCACCTGCTGGGTACTGAGTGTCATACTGAGATCCCGAGGCAGGTCTGGCTGGCTCTGGATAGAAGAGCTCGGGCTGCTGTTGCGGATACATCTGTGGCGCACCTCTGGGCACGACTTGCACCTGCTTGGGCATGGGTAAGTGCTCCGCCCTGTGGTGAGACACAGGGTGGGGTGTCAGGGACAAGCCAGATGCATCCAAACTGAAGAGAAACAAGAGGGAGAAATGAGTCAGTGATAACTTATGTAGATCCTGTTAAAGCCAAGGCTATTATAGGCCTTACATAAAAATGGAATTTATCTATTTACATTTAGCTGACGCTTTTATCCTCTGGAGCAACTAGAGGTTAAGTGTCTTGCTCAGGGACACATTGGTGTCTCGCAGTGGATTCGAACCGGGATCTCTCACACCAAAGGCATGTGTCCTATCCACTGCGCCATCACCACCCCTATCTTTTAATGTGGAATGTCAAAATTTGCAATTTTGGGATAAAAAAACAATTACCTCTCAAAATAATAATAATAATAAACAGGAAGTTGGTATCTATTGTCTTGGCGTGACCCAAGTAATCTATTAAGACCTGGTTCATTATGTTCATTACAATAGGCATGATTTTTGGTCAAATTGTTTAGAAGTTATAAGCAGAGATGTAGCCTCACACCCATTTTGACATGCTCTTCATTCGAATTAGTTTGAGAGTTTTCTGAGAACGTTTGACAAATCAACTTGAATTTTCTTTAATTATTGAGTTTTTGTGTCAGCATGGTAGGAAGATGATCTGGTTACATTTTTGTGAAAATTGGAGCATCGGTCTAAAGGGAGTATTTACGTAGGTATTTTGGAAAAAAATTTATGATGGAAAATGACAATTCTGTGCAATCGAAACATCTTGAGCCAAGGAATCAGAGGAAAATATTTAGTTTCTAGTCATTACAGTTCAAAAGTTAAGCAAAAATATGAGTTAAAGACAAAATTGTTTAAAATTAATGGTTAATGCTAAGATGTCCTCTATCAATGTGCCAAATGTCACAATTTTTTACTATACAGTTCAATGGGCTGCAATAGACTCAAGAGCAGCGGGAGCAGCAAGAGAAAGAAGAAGAGGGGAGTAAAAAAAATTAACTTTGAATTTACAAAAATGTGAAAAACATAAACAAAATAAAAAATAAAAAAATAAAACAAAACATTTTGCTGTTGCTGTTTGAGTCAAAAGAATTCAGATACTAAAAAGCAAGGAACGTGAAGTCAAACAAGGTTGACGAAATCAAATTCTTACGAGTCAGGTGGCGACCCAGGAGCACTGTGGCTAGAGCCATCCATCTTGGGCTTGAGTAAGAGCTCATATGTGGAGGGGTCTGTGCCTCTGGGGATGAGCTGGGGAAGAGGCGTCCCAGGACCAGCAACAATGCCGTTGGTAAGGGCCTTTCGCCCAGGCTCCAGTGGGATCCCCTCCTCAGGAAGCAGGCCAGGGGTGCAGGGCACTCGCGCAGCAAGACGTTTGTTCATTTTACGGTACCTGTAACGCAACAACAACAAAAAAGTTTCTTCATTATAATGAAGAACGTTTTTTTTTTTTTTTTACCCGACATGCAAGATGTTACAACGTCACTCACTTTTCCAGCTCCTCCTGAGAATGAGCGAATGTGCAGCTAGCTCCTCTGGGACAGCCTCCTTTCTGCTTCATATCTCTGCACATGTATGTCTTGTATTTGCTGTGCTGGGGAGGCTGCTGCGTGTCAGCACCCTTTTTGCTGTGGTTCTGGATGAAGTCCACTAGGCCGTGCACCACCGTCTTTACCGCCACCAGCCCCTTCTCCAGCTGCTCCCAGGTGGGAGGAGGAGCATCTGAATAAAGATAAATCAAAGCACAAATAAATCCCAGAACAGAGCAAGCATGCATCATACCACTCAGCTCTAATTCACTGGAATTCAATATCTTAGTACAACACAGTGGTTCTCAAAGTGTGGGATACAGTAGATTTAGTCAATGTAACGGGTTTACATTAATTTGCATAATTACAAATTTATCTAAAATGTCCAAACCCATTCTATACTCCCAGAGAAAGCATTAACCCGTTATCATGAATGATTTTAAAGTTTGAACATGCAATACAGACACACAAATAACTGCTGTGACAAAATAAATATCTTCAAATTAAATCCTAAAGTAGAACACAATCTTCTTTTCAACGAATTATATAGGCCTTCTTTAGAACAACTTTCATACATCTTTCTTCATTCTTTCAAGCACACATATTTAATTGTATAAATGAAATAAAATTAATCCTTATTAAAGAGCAGTGAATGCTTCACTTTTTCTTTTGTTGTTTCATTAATAATAAGGGTGCACACGGCATTAGGTTTAGGCCTATAACGCACTGTCACTTTAAAACCGAATGTTTGGATCCAAATATGATATTCTCACAACGGTTTATGTTCTAAAGAGACATAACCGACTGGATGGATACTGTCCAAAACTGATATTTACACAAAGTTGTGTGCATTTATCCATTCAGAAACGAAAGAGAGCTCCATTCTAGTTTTTGTCTTTTAAAACCGTTTTTATTTAGTTATCGTCTCGTTTTCGAAATGTTGTTGATGAAAAATTATTTGTCAACGAAATGAACACTGATTTAAAGGGGGGGGGGGTGTGACATTAAAAAACTGAGAACCACTGGTATAACACAAATATACTCAGTCCATCATAATGTCTGTCTTTTAGCAAACCTGGACTGGGGTCGATGTTAGCGAGCAACTCGAGGTGAGGTCTGAGCCGGTTGAGATTGGCAGGGTCCCCCGTCCTCTGCAGTGCGATGGTCAGCTCCTGGACGCTCTGAGCAAAAGACGCTGGGGTCTGCAGCTGAAAGAGAAGCACATTACTCCATTATTCCGAGAGATATTACTATTTCTGGAATTAGAAAGGATTCAGGGAATTCTCAAGCCATGCAGAGTGCAGACAGATGGGCGTCATACCTTGTCGATGATGGACTGCATGTGTGACTTATGAGACTGATCTCCATACAGCAGAGAGGACCACTGATCAGGGGCGATGCGGAGCCCTCCCTCCATCGCGATTTGAACTATTTGAGAGTCGTGTTCCCGCCGAAGTGCCTCGTACGTGCGGAACTCCTCTTTCAACTGCATTAGCGATGAATCCTCATCTCTCTTAGTCACCTACGATTCACAAGAGTAAATCAAGAGAGTGTTATTGCAAATGAGCTGTTATGGTAATGAAAATACTATTTGCACATTCAAAGACACAGAAACAAATCTAATTAACTCCCATCAGATCTGAATTAAAAAAAGAAAAGCTGCAGACAAACTCGTAAGATGCATGTAAACAGCTCGGGTTTGATCAAGTGCAAAATAAAGGACAACTACCTTGAAGCAGGAGGCACGGTAGAGGAGCTGAACTACATGTCCAATACTGGTTTTGGAGGCCTGAGGAAATCTCGGTTCAAGTCTCTGGACCACAAAGAGGACCAGAACCTTCCTAGAAAGAGCGGATCCGTCTTCCAAAGCCAACAGCACCAGCTTTAGTGCCTCCTCCTGCATGGCTGTTAGTTAAAAAAGGGCAAACATAAGACACTAGAGCTCTACAACACCAGGACAAACTGTGAAAAATCTGTTGAGATAAGCAATTTAATTTTGTAACTATTATTACATCTGTCTAGACTGACATGGACAATTGCAGAGAGGTGTTCTTATCTCTTTTCCATACTTTTCCATCACTCTGTGACAAAGCTGACCAATAAGATACATGCTTCTGATCCCATTCAATAAATATTTGACTTGATGGTTCTCACGAAAAGTCTATTTTAATATGAGACACATTTTTTTTTTTTTATGCAATGGACTGTACAGACAAATCAAATCAAAATTTCCATGGCAAACATTTATGTTGGTGTGAATAGAGGTTTTTAAAGTGTCATCTTACCGGGGCCCAGGAACTGGCAACCTCTGGCTCTCACGGCAGCCCACAGGTTGGAGGAGAGCTGCTGGGGGTTTTGGTGCTGCAAAATGAGCTCCGTAACTGTTCTTTCGCCCAGAGAGCGGGCCGCCCGCATGGCCCTGACCCGTCCTTCCTCTTCCACCAGCTGACAGTGCACCAGAGTCACCAGCTTCCTCTGCATGGGGCGGCTCAGCATGCTCTGAGCAGCATTACTCAACCCCACTCCTAAAATATGATTTCAAAAGATTACTTGGTCATGCCCATTATACTGGCTTACAATTGACATTAAATGAATATTCACTGATTTCTATATATGGATGGTTGTTATTTATGTAACTTACGATACATTGCGACTTTAAAGTAGTTATGCACTGTAATTTTGGCAACCAAAAATGATTGATTTAGAAAATAAAAAAAAATTGGCTTTTCCCGAAATGGCTTTGGAGGGCCAAAATCATTGACTAAAAAAAAGTGACATTTAAGTATGCCTTCTCGGATGATGCATTTTGACTATGTCATATGTTACATGTATAAGCTCCAACAGGTAAAACATGTCATCACTATGTTGAACCAATATTGACTTTAAAATCTCAAAATCAATCTTCTATGACGATTCACACTGCACAATTTTCACTTGCTGACAGGTTTTGTAAAATGCCAACAAATGCCAGAAATCGGAGGCAAATCGCGAGTGACAGTCAATGAATGAATTATCAAAGACAAGATCTGAGGTAATCAAACAGAAACAAAGCAAACATTTGCACATTGGAAAATTATCCAATGCTTTCTTTGGAGAACACACAATCCTTGCTCCACGCATCTCTCAAACCATTTCCTACATAATACTTTTTCTCCTTTTAAGCACGCAGACAATTTTGATTAGCTTCTTGCGTTCTATCATTTTTAAAGGGGTGATGAACTGAGAAATCAAAATTTCCTTGAGCTTTTGACATCTAAGAGGTCATTATATTATAAGAATATCCTGTAAGTTTCAGAACTGAAAACGTCCTTGTTAATCCAATGAAAGCTTTTATTGACACCAGCCCCTTTCACACAGCGCGTTGATCCCGGGAAATTGCCGGGAATTTGCCAGAACGCCTTTTGTGTGAACGCAAACACGACCCGCGATTGATACCGGCATCGATGCCGGGTTGGGGACCTAGTAACATTGCCGGAATCAGTCGCGGAACGCGAGCTGTGTGAACAAAAGCCAGGACCAATGCCGTAAGGGGTGTGTCATAGTGATGACGCTCGTGCCATCGTGTTTGTGTTTGTGCCATCATTTCGTGCCATTTGTTGCTTTTAGAAGAAAGTTTGTGTTTGTCATCAACAAAGAAAGGACGAACAAATATCTGCAAACTGGAACGAAGCAGAGACCAGGAGCTCCTCACTATCCGCGCTGAAGCTGAGATCGTTTACTCGCTTTGTGGAACGGTATGCGCGTGTATATCTTTTCGACGCGTACGATACACGTCTCATCCTGACGTCATGTGTCTTTACGGGTTGTGTGTGTTCGGTGTTCTGACGATTCATGCTACCCATCGAGATTTGCTACTTACCGGTTATGCGCATATGCAGACTCACAGTTTTTTTTTTTTTTACAAAAGGTACATTTTCCTGTTATAATGTATAATTCCCCTTTAAAAAATGCTTACTACCATATGAATATTTGTACGGTCAGCCAGCTGAAAAAGAATAACTGAAAGTTTCAGTTACTATGAGGAAAGGTGTACTTTGACAAGTCAAAGATGAATATTTTATGATAATTTTTACTTTTCACACCGTTTAAAATAAAAACAGTAGTCTACAGTATACAGTAGTTACTCATAACTTAGAATTGTATTATAATTGTATTTCATACGACTTTAATCGGCATTCTGTGATCAATTCGCGCTACGGTAGCATTTTTCGACAAGCCAGCAAAAATCGACAGAACATCGGCAGTGTGAATGAACCAAAATCAAACAATCTCCGGGACAAATGCCGGGTCACATTATCCGTGTATTTTCCGGAATCTCTGTGTGAAAGTGGCTTTGGTGTGTGAACAAAAGTTGTTTTTAGTGCACTTAACTACTTTAAAGACCATGTGAGAGTATGTCAAGTACCTCGTGCACTGCTGAGAGGTTTGAGGTAGAGGGCCAACTCCTCAACGCACTGCCGAGCCTCATCATAATGCTTGGTGTCCTCTGGGCACGCAATGAGTGCCACAGGTTGCTGTTTGGGCACCTGAAACAAAAAGACTAATTAAATGAAGCACACACTACGATAACGCTGCGTGGTGAAGTCGGTCGAAATGCCTCACCTGACCCCCAACCAGCTGCAGAAGGGCCGAGTTGACGGGCAGCTGCTCGATGTCGGTGTTGATGGCCGTCTGGTCAAAGGGACAGGCCTTGCGATGAAGCTTGTTGAGGCACATCTTGCAAACAGTGTGGCCGCAACCCAGACTGATGGGCCGACGCACTGTCTCCTCGAACGTCTGGGTGCATATGGGGCACAGTAAAAACTCTGTCCATTGTGGAGCTTGTACAGGCATTGTAGCGAGGTTGTTCTACATGTAAACAAGGGCGCTTCTCCTGGATGTGCGTGCAGGTGTATGTGTGATTGGGTGTGTCATTTAACAAATAGGAAATAATAGATTGGGGGCGGGGGGTGGGGATGAAAGATTCCACTGGAATCAAAAAATCTTCTGAACACAGGAGTTCTTAAAGAAGTTCACACGTCCCGGGTGATCATCACATGGTGTGAAACCTGAAACCTGGAACAAAAGAGATGCCGTTGATGAATAATCTGACAAATATGGAAATTAAGAAACAATATGTTTACTTTCATGATAAAGATTAACCAGCACAGTAATGCAGTTGATACAGTAACCGACTGGCTTATTGAATTTGAAGATTCACCAAGTCTGGCAGAAAACTAAAAACAAGACTAGTTGTTATAGAATACATTCTTTAAAAAGTATTTTCCTAGTTTCTGAAAAGAATTGTGTCAAGGAATATTACATTGGAGACTATTACGGAAAGACAAAACAGGCAAAACCATGCTATTTTACTTCTATTACTTTCAGACTAGTGGAAATAAAACATCCAAAATACACATTTAAAGGAACACTCTGACTTTTTGGGACTTTAGCCTATTCACCTTACCCCCCAGAGTTAGATAAGTCCATACATACCTTTTTCATCTCCGTGCGTACTATAAGTCTGTTTGACGCACCCACCGCTAGCCTAGCTTAGCACAAAGACTGGATGTGAATGGTTGCAGCTTTCATACTAATCCAAATGAGTGGCAAAATAACGCAAACGTTTTCCTATTTACATGTTGTGATTTGTATAGTCACAGAATGTACAAATAACAAAGTCAAATGAGACACAGACATCTTTTAACCGTATAAAACCTGGGAACTATTCTCTGAAGGCGAAGCACTGCTACTTTGACGGCGTAATAACCGCATCACCTGAGACACGCCGTGGTGAGGAGCGGAGAGTTCGCTCGGTGTTTGGGTAATAGAGTCAGCAATTTATAAATAGTAAAAGCATAGTTTAGAGTCATGGGTTTTCGCTCTATTGTAAATAGCTGCGACAGTAAACAGGGGAGGTAATACCATGTTTCACAGAATTCCAACTAAAAACGCTGACTGGATGAAGAAATGGCTAACTTACTCTGGATATTTATCCAAACACACCTAAATAGATTATCAAGGGACATTATGTTTGCTCGGTACATTTCAATGGACGACTATTTTGAAAAAATGGAATTTGCCACACGGACCATAATGTGCTGAAGGATACGGCCATCCCATCGATAGCACAGACAGGACAAGTGGATCACCTGCGGCTGAGGTAAGTGTTCCGTTATGTTTTTAGATGACCTACTGTAACAGTGCCATTAGCCAGAGCTAATGTAACGTTAGTGACACTATTATATGATTAGGGTATGAATATGTTTTTATCTTGATGCGGTGCGGACGCGCTTGGAAAAAAACGAGCCCGTTCACCGCGTTGAACTTGCACCCTGCGCGCGGCGCGCCTAGTAGCTTAAATTTGACATAACCATGGAAATAACGAACTTGAGCGTACAAAATGGTACGATAGGCTGTGAGTTCATTGTGCAAAAACAATTTGTGCTATTACTTTCTCCGTATTCTATCCTATAGTAATGCAATTATACTGTATATTATATACTGTTGAATACATTTGGTTCAGCTAATAAATTGCATTTAAAATATATTGATTCCTGTAATAATAATTATTTATTCATGTGATATTTATAAATCTGGGTGCGTTTTTGGTTGGAAATCAATGAAACATGGTACCTGGTCTCCCCTGTTTAAGCCTTGTTCACACTACATGATTTTAAAATGTCGGGCTGAACTGTGCAGTTCACACTACACGACTTGCTCTCAGTGAAATCATGAGTGTTCAAGTTGTTTAGCTGTTCACACCACACAACACAACGTGATTGATCCACAACAGGACGTAACTCACTACACGAGTTAACAACGCACTACATAGAGATACAACCACGATCGGATGATAAGAGCATATCATTTGTGACTCAATGAGAGCTGTTTCAGTACTATAGTACGGTCTAAATCCTGAAAATAATCAAACAAATAACGAGTTGACAACAACACGATTCTATCTGGTCTAGAAACCATGTTTTGTCACGAAAAACCACGCAATAAAACGAACCAGAAATGACGCGAAACTGCAGAGACGAACACAACACGCGAATATGGACGTCAGACAGAAACTAGTGCTGCACACTGTTTGCTCGACGATCTGCTCTGAGAAAAAAAAAATGCAAAAAAGAAAAGAAAAAGTAAGATTTACCTGGTGTCCTCAACCCATGCGTTGCTATGATTGGCTGTACTCATGACATCACTGAGATTGAGTCGCGCGACTGCTCGAGATATCTAGCATGCTAGATATTTTTCTGAGCTCGGTGACCTGTCTGCGAGGTGTCTGCGAGCTGTCTTTGGTGCGTTGTTGGCTCTTTCACACTAACGGATTGGCGAGCGTTAATCGTCCGCTAATCGCCCGCGATTTGCACGCGATAACACCCTGACTTGTCGGCGACTCAACGATTTGCAAATCGGCTTAAATCGGGCTTAAAATCACGTAGTGTGAACTAGGCTTTATTGTCACAGCTCATACAATAAAGCAAACACCCATGATAAACTATGCTTTTCTATCTAACGTTAGTAATTGCTGACTCTGTTACCCAAATACTGAGCGAAGCGAACTCTCTGCTCCTCGTCACGGTGCGTCTCAGGTGATGGTTATCACTCTGCCCAAGTAGCAGTGCTTCGCCTTCAGAATTATTTATACGGTTAAAAGATGTCTGTGTCTCATATGGCCTTGATATTTGCACACTCTGTGACTATACAAACCACAACATGTAAATAGGAAAACGTTTGCATTATTTTGTCACTTATTTGGATTAGTATGAAAGCTGAAACCATTCACATCCAGTCTTTGTGCTAAGCTAGGCTAGCGGTGGGTGCGTCAAACAGACTTATAGCACGCACGGAGATGAAAAAGGTATGTATGGACTTATCTAACTCTGGGGGGTAAGGTGAATAGCCTTAAGTCCCAAAAAGTCGGAGTGTTCCTTTAAGTGTTAATTACACTATCTAATTGCATCTGAAGACTTTTAAATAACAATAGCTATCTTTAAATGCCGTTTGCTCAAAATTATTATTTTTTCGAATGCGCCGAGTCCGAAATCTCAACTTCAGAAGCATTTAAATACAAAACCTTAAATGGGATAGTTCACCCAAAAATGAAAGTTGTCATCATTTACTCACCCTGAAGTTGTTCCAAACCTGGATGAGTTTATTTTCTTCTGTTGAACACAAAAGAAGATATTTTAAAGAACGTTGGTAACCAGACAGTTGACAGCAGCCATTGACTTCCAAAGTAGAAAAAACAGCATGGAAGTCAATCGGTGCAGATACTTCAAAATATCTTCTTTTGTGTTCAACAGGAGAATGAAACTCTACAGGTTTGGAACAACTTAAGGGTGAGTAAATGATGAAAACATTTTCATTTTTGGTTGAACTATCACTTTAAATTGTATAACAGAGGGGGTTATTCATGATATTCACTAAAAACATTGAGGAAATGTAATTTTGTCTGACCGTGTTTTCTGACAAACGGAGAAATCAAAAACCCCTCCGTAAAAAAAATAATAATAATATGACAACAAAATGAACAAGGCTTTATATAATGTTCAGATTTGTGTGCTGGGAATATATGGAAATAAGTGCATTTTTTATTACATATCGCAGCATGTTTAAACATGACACAACAAAAAGTATTAGTAATAAAAAAAGTGATATTAAAGTACTGTGATTTATCGGTTGGGGGGGGGGGGGTATGGCGACATCTATTAATTAAAATTGGACTACTCAGCTGTGGTGTAATTTACACAGGCTAACGTTAACTCGTCTGTCAATAAACTTGACTTGAAAGTATAAGCGTTACATTAAGTCTTTTGATAGACACGTATTAAAAAATTAACCCCATTTAAGTTACCTGGCACAAATAATCCACATTGATTAACAGATTAATATTGCGTTCTCCACTGTCCAATCTCAATTAGCTATCAGGCTAACACAATGTTCGCTGGCTCTTGTGTCTATCTGGGCTGAATACGCCCTCTTTTAATTCATAACAGGGATTGTAGCATTGAAAAATAATTAAACAGACCCAAATTTGTGCTCATGTGAGATTGCGAGTTTATTTATGCGAAATGTACGATCTGGTTATGCTAAACCTCAAGATATTCCCCGATTATGTAACACAGCAACCACTGAACCTGACCAAAACACTGGATTATTATTATCCGACCAACCATGTCAAAACACTGCAGCGGAATCGTGACATGTGGTAAGCGTAGATGCAAATACATAAATCACGTGGATTTCTGTAAACAGCTATTTTTGTAAACGGAGGCCCGTGTAAACACAGCTTTCAGTCTAGCAACCTAAGCTAATAAGCTACGATGGCTAACGAAATTGCTATTTAAATTGAATACATCGCTTAAATCAAATTTACTGGCAAAGACAACGTCAAAAACTAGATGATGCACGGACGAACCACCGATTAAGCCCCTGCGTTGACCGAAAAATAGCTCAAGCCGAAGCTACACAAGGCTAGCCGGGCGGCTAAATGCTGCAATCGTGCTAACAGATTAGCCGTTAGCCAGCCGTGTGCGGTCCACACCCAGAAACTAACACATAATACACGCAAAACCCGCAGTTCTGCATATCCCACAGGCGCAACACAACAAATGCTCACTCACTCGCTCATTCTTCACTGAGTATCAGCTATCTTCATCTTTTCTTAAGAAAACGCTTAGTTATTTCCTCGGTCGCCATGTCGACCGTTATAACGGGTTGCCGAAGTAGTTCGGGAGTTCCTCGCGCACAACTACCAGCAGAGGCAGCGCAGCGCTCGAGTTCACCTAGGCGGAGAAGAATGAATGAGCAGCGGGGCGCCCCCTGTGGCCGAGCGGCGCTGAAAACAAACACAAACACACACACCCACACCCACACCCACACCCCCTCCCACACACACACACACACACACACACACACACACACACACACACACACACACACAATAAACTCATGCCTGGGCAAATCGATCTATGACATTAAAGGAGTAGTTCACGACTTTTAAAAAAAACTTTTGTTGATAATTTACTCACCCCAATGTCATCCAAGATGTCCATGTCTTTCTTCTTCAGTCAAAAAGAAATTAAGGTTTTTGACGAAAACATTCCAGGATTTTTCTCCATATAATCGACTTCAATGGGAACCAAACGGTTCAAGGTCCAAAAGTTTCAGTGCAAACTGTTCAAAGGGCTTTAAATGATTCAAGACGATGAATAAGGGTCTTATCAAGCGAAACAATCACTCATTTATAAAAAACAAACTAATAAATAATTATTATGAAATTACAACATAAAAGGTCGCATAATTATGACTTGTTATATCTTAACTATGACTTTTAAAAATAAGTCAAAATTTTGATATGAAGTCATAATTATAATGAATTTGTAATAAATTTGTAATTAATAAATGATTAATGTGTTATGACAAACTCTACTTATGAGACAGATATAATTAAATAAAAATGTACAAATATATATAAATAAAATGTTGAAATTGACCCAAAAATGATTCTTTTTTTCTTTTTAATGTCATAATTTTTACTTTTTGCATCTCCTTATGTGACAGAAATGTATATACTGTAAATCTGTTACTTACTTATTTATTTATTATTTTTAATCATGATGGTTTTCACACTTTTTCACATAGACAGAGTTCGGATGTAATACTGTTGTCACACTGTGATTATTTCCCATCTCTCAACTGTCATCATTTACGTTTACACATTTACATTAGCTTTCTCTCTCTCTCCTCTAATATGTTTTAGTTTTGTTGTATTTTTCAACACTGGGAAATTTTCAGTCCTCAGGTACAGATAATCTTTTTGCACAACTGCAATGCAATCAAGCATCTCTCAAAATACTTGTTCTGTCACACTTGACCTTTACATGAGTGCATTTTTTTAAAATACTGCTTCTCTGAATTGTACCAACTTATGCAATGAAATGCTACGGTTGACATCAGAGGAATTAAAGTACGCATTTATTTTCCATTTTTTCTAATCCGTCTGATTTCTGCGGGGATTAACAGACCAATCATGAATATTGAGCGAGCGCTCATAGGTTAGAGTTGGAATCTACCACCAGGGGATGCGCAGTGATAGGTGCTGGTGACAGCTGAACGAAGAGGAGCATCATGGGAGTAATTCCTCATTTCAACGGGTTACATTGGTTCTTGTTTCCAGCCATTCAAGTATTAAAAGAGAGGCAGGGATGATTCTGCATGAACTGTAACAGACTCAAATGGACCATCAGTGAAAGGATTAAGGTAAGATGTTATAAAGTATGATGAATGTGATGACCTCTATAATATAAAATAATAATAATAAATATATTATTTTCATTATCCTCCATCACAGTTTGTATTACTACAAATAAACAATGTTACATAAATCTCATCTGTATTTTTATTTGTATCATGGTTTGCAATATCTTACTTTCTATAACTTCATTTTAGGTACTAATACATATCGGAGATCTGACCATGTATAATTACAGTTCCAAAATCAGATCACTCATCTAATAAGGAGTGATACGTCTGTATGCATCCATTGTGATATTTGTCATTATCTTCAAGAGAGTGTATCCTCGTCATGAACTTGCACTAATTTCAGATAGCTTGGTGTGGGAAATGATCTTACACTATGAAAGTATTGTTGTTACGCAAACTCTTATAGTATGGTGTGCGTAAGAGGGATTCAAAATATATTTAATCTACTAACATGGAATCCCTGAACTCTGCTTTATCTTGTTGGCATTTTCTTGTTAAAGTTGCAGAATGGAGGAGGAGACAGAGGAGGTCTCTGGGACACATCCACTAAGGAGTGCAGAGCAACCTGGACCCTCCACTGATCTATTGAAATCCAAAGCAATAGGTTCAGCAGTTTCTGCCCTGCAATCTAAAGTCAAAGCAGTGTCCCAGCGAAGGTTAAAGGTGGCGGAAAGAGGTGATCTATTACCAGAGGATTCCACAGAAGGGTCCGTGAAGAAACCCCAAGACGATGAAGTGCTTTGTCCTTGTCAAACAGAATACACTGAGCAGAGCAATAAGTCAAGCACTGTGCAAGAAGTACTGGAACCCAACTCTGGGATGCAAGGAGAAAAGGAGACTTGCAGCAAAAGTGGGAAAGGCAGCCCACCTCAAGGTGTGCCAGAATTGTCCCGTGGGCTTTGTGAAGGGTCTAGCCTGGAGAACATTGCAGTGGGTGGTGCTGGTGAACCTCAAGGTGACAATGCATCAAAGTCGATGACGTCTTCTTCCAGGAACTGGGCTCCTCCCAAGGGCTTTTGGCGAGTGGCACGACCAGAGACGCTACATCTTAATTCAGAGAGCTCTTCCACCCTGGCAACTGCAAAATATGTACCTCCCACAATTGAAGAGGGTCCAAAACGGAAGGCAAAACTAAAAACCGTGGGTGCAGTTGCAGTTCACAAGGAGTTGCAAAGGTCTGACAGCTTGGAAAGTGCTTTTCATAGGCAGATTGGAGCTGCAGATCCAGTTGGTGGGCTGTGGAAGGCAGACAGTTGGGATACTGTCTGCTCCAGAGGAGGGTCTTTGTCTGTTGCAGAGAAAGTCGAGATGAACAAGACATACCTTAACCAATATCAAGTAGAGGAAATTGAGATCACAACTTCCATGCGTCCAGAGGGACAGTATCAACCACCAAAGGAGACACACAGAGGTAAGACCTTGACTTAAAGGATATGTCGCAACTTTCTTTCTTATGTTCAATGGTGTTTGGATCCTGATGTTTTCTTATGTTGGGTTCCGTTGATTGCCTTGTGCAGTTTTTCACTGTATCCGTGATTTAACCAGTATTAGACACTCGAGGGTCACTGAGCCAAAACTCACAGAAGGGAGGTTAGTATGATCTCTCAGAACAGATGTGGCTGCCTGTCACCATGATTACAGATGTGGGGGAAGGGTTTGGGTTAGAGTGGAGCAGTGGAGATAATAGTGTTTTAATACCGCACGACGTAGGGATAGGCTGAAATCTGCCGGCTTGGTTTTCCGGAATGTTGTGTAACAGCAGGCTGAGCTCTCTGGATCAGAAGGCGACCAAATAATGGTTCAGTGTGTTGCACGTAGCACCCTTATTTTGTAAGTGAGAAATTATGTGATATTGAGTCTGGTCTTGCGGAGGATGACCAAAATTATATTAATTTGTTGCAAGTTTTAAATACTTATTCAAAGTATATACGTATCAGCTGGGTTTTTGAAATCTGTGTGCTTGAGTTTATTAATATTATTATATATATTTTTTTACAGATTTACCTCCCTACAAAGTAGATTATTGGGACTCAGCAATTATCGCAAAAGAGCCTGTGTTTAACTATAGGTAAGAGACATTGCACTCAATCAAGCACATTATTGAATACGGTTGTTCATTTGCACTTAGCTGTTGTAGACCTCTGCCAGAACACAAATCCATGTGAAAGACACATCTTTTTTTTTAAGATTAAGGCATGCACATGACATGCCCATGATAGAGATTATATAAAACAGATTTGCTCTTAGACATTCTATGTTTGTTTCGGATTTGTGGAAAGTATAGTGAAAGAGCATCAATATTGGCAGTTTAATATTCAATATTGTACACATACATGCAATTACAAGTTGTACTTTTGTAGGTTTGGATTACTGTTGACATATATCAAACATTTCGAATAATTTTTTCATTTACTCAGGTTTCAAATTCTTTTTCTGTTTTGGACAGACCTCTGATCTCCACCGCTGAAGTAACTCTCAGTCCACGTCATGAACAAGCAAAGCGTTTGTTAGAAAGAGCTCGATTCAAAGCACGTTCCCAAAACCCTAAGAGTGAAACCCCAACCTGCCTTGGTCAAAGAGAAGGCCTGTAAGTCACCTCAACAATTCCCTTCTTGTTGCCCAACATCATGGGAATCTATTTACAGTCATTAATTTTATCACTGTGGAAAAAACCAATGCAATCCTAAATCCTAAATCTAAATCCAATGCAATCTAAAGTCATTACCCATATCCTGTGATGCTCAGACATATTAATTTAAGCAATTCATTCAGAGTTGTGTTCTTGTGTTATATAATTACATACTGCATATAACACGTATTTGTCAAGCATTTTTTATTAATCAGTTTCCAGTTTACCAAAAAAGCCTCAATTAATGTACTTTAAATGAATGCTGTCTGCTTCCAGCAGGTTTGAATGACAATTATGTAACATTATGCAGTGATGTAATAGAGATAATCAACTGATACGGACAGTGATTGCAGATCTCCAGGTGTTCTCTAAAAGCTCTTGTATCTGCTTTATAGGGAGCTCTTACCAATCAGTGTGTCATCCACCCTGCACACTGCTGTTCTTGTCACGGCTCACGAGGAAGTGATTTCACCTCTTCAGTCACCGGACGTCCGTGGAAGGAACCATGAACGTGGGGTGCGCTCGCGTCGGTATGGCCAGTCGCCCACAAGAGTGCGCTTCGAAGACGAGTCAGAAAAGGAGGCTGAGCGACGATACCTGGAGCGGGTGCGTGAACGTGGGCCAGTGGTGGTTGAGAAATCTCACTCCAGCCAACAGATAAAGGAGGATCCGGCGTACAATATTCAGGAGGAAAGCAGGGGCAAGGCAATAAACTGGGTAAACGTTGGTATACTTGTGGCCATATTAACCAAAGAGGGAGAGTGTTTGGCTGCCATGGTGCCAAAGGACGAAATGCTCAGGACATGTGAAACATGTGGAAGCTTCTTGGGTCCTGCACAGACCACAGATTGTCCTTCCAAGCCAACACAAAGTATTG